GAAGAGTTCGAGTTAATTAATGAACAGCTCAAAACACGCACCTTAGAAGTAAACGGGCAACCAGTCAATTTATTTGATCTCGACAAAAACGGAAAGCTTGTTCCAATGCCACAGGCCACTCACTGCATGGAGGTTACTATTGGAGAGATTGTTAGGCAGCTTGGTAATTGGAACATTCAAACTCGACAAAACGGGGACATAAAAACAGCACAAGGAGGGTTTGATTTCAGTGTTGGAAACCAAAGGACGATCAGAGCTCCTGATGTCTCCTTCACACCAAAAGCAGTATCTCGCCAATTGACTGAATTACAACGTTGGGCTTTCCAGGGTCAACCATTCACTCCCACGTTCGTTGTCGAGGTTGGAGATACCCAAAGTAGTACATCGGCGCTCGGGGAGTTAGATGACAAATTTAAGCGCGAATACTTTGCAGTTGGAACATCTGTACAACTCGGTTGGTTGATTGATCCCAAAAATAGAATAATCTGGGTATACAAGAGGAATCAACATGGCAATGTCTATCGTCGTGAGCGCGTATGGGAAGATGTAGAGGGTGGTGATGTTTTGCCGAGGTTCACATTGGAGGTGCGGATGATTGAGGAAGCAATTTCACAGGTGCGTCATCGCCATTACTTCTATGTAGCAATATTTTACTACTCATGTTTTTGATCACAGGAATCTTCCGAAACATCATCAGAGAATGAAGAATTACAAATTGATTGCCCTCTATGTAACGCAACTTTCTCTGATCATTAAACTTTCATGAAACATTATACAAATGAGCATGCTCGTAAACGACGTAGAACAGAGTAGAGCTTTAGTGTTTTTTATAGAGTGTACTCGAATTGATAAATTACTTTCTAGCACAGCACCGCATATTTCAAATAAATGACGCAGTGGTTCACGTTACTTTATTAATTATTTAACAAGCATCATGTCTTACAATACTACATATTAAAAAAGCACCAAACTTAGACTGTGACTGAGCAGTCGCGGTCAAGTTAAATCATGATCACGTGATCACATTTTACCCGAATAAAATGATTTTTTTATAGAACGTAAACGAGGTGTGACTAGATACATATGATTTTTTTCGTCTGATCTAACCCGTCTCTTCTGTAAGATTGCTCGATAATCTATTATGCCCTCGATTGATTGCTCTTCATCATGTGAAATTTCCACTGGCTTCTGTGCCTCCTCTAACAACCCAGCAATGTAATCAAAGACCCTTTCAACCATACTTTCCATATCCTCATTATAATACAAAACAACTACTGGCTTTGATAGTTTCAATCTGGGCCTTTCCAACTCATCGAGCGAACATTCCATAAAAAACCATTTTCCGCATCAGTGACGGTTCCAAACGTCTTACCCACAAACACGCCTTTTTCCTCTATCTCACCGACCTTGCGCTTACGATTCGATAAAGCTGATTCAAGTTGCACGGCATTCTGAGCAATACCCTTAAAAAAATCTTCATCCTATACTTCTGTCACACAACAGTTCTTGCAGTTTTGAGTAAGACTATTGCGAAATCGACTGGTCCATGTCCATTGGGTCCTGTGATATCTTTTTCTGGTCGAAGTTCAAACTTGCCTTCGTATAGGTTCGCACTAGCAACCAAGTATGAACGCACGTATTGCGATTTCGATGCTTCATTTGCATTGATTGGAATGGTCTTGAGACGGGCCTTTAAGATGTTTAAGTATTGCCTGGGAAGATTCGTCTTTCAGATTCTTGTACTCACAAGAAAAAGGTGGGAATACTGATAATGATGGATCATCCGATTCGGCGAGTCCGTAAAGCTGACACACCTTTGAGAATGACAAGGCTTTCGAGGGTGTTTCTATGGACACCGATTATTCTTTGTTACAGATATTCGGAGCATCTCACAAAGGTCTTGGTCGTTACAAATGAAGTATTTTCTACTATCATTTAACACGTTAAGTTCCGTCCCATCATTTTCAAGCGCGGGTGGTTGATACATCTTATGTATGTAATCTTTGAGGCCTTCGAGAGACGCATGTTCAATATTCGCAGTCCTACAATACAGTAACGGTTAATAAAAACTCTTTCGGTTAATAATGCCTATTCTACATACCACGTACAGATTTGTTAAGCGATTTCTCCATTGAAGCGATGCAGTCAAGTAATTTCTGTTCACGGCTCGACGTGGTGGTGGACTCTGGCGATTCAACTATGACATGGATATGTCTCTTGGGTAGCTTCTCGGACCAGTAATCCTCTACATCTCGGGTTGCAAGGAGTTCGGTTTGATCTTGGAATGAGATTACTCAACTGATCGTCGTGATCATCGGGAATTTCTAACCTCTATAGCTTGAGCTTGTCTGCGTCAATACCAGCGAAGTCATTATGCTTTTCTGCCTTCCATCTATGTCAGTTGTATTTCCTTTGACGAGACAATAAAGTGATAGACTTACTGTATATAGTATTTTCTACGAAATGTTATTGGCTCAATTGTCGCTTGTTGGTTACACATATATCGTGATTTGATTGGCTGTAAATTTCGATTAAATAAAGCTCTTTTTCAGGATCGTCCATAGATAATAAATCAGGATTTTAGTATGGTCGAAGTGCGGTTGGTAAAATAATTAATTATCAATATATCGTAATATAATATGGAAAGAGCGGTTAAAGTCATAATAGTCACGTAAAATTCATTACTAACATTTAAGAAACGTTTAGGTAACGAGAGAAAGGTGGTGGTCTTACAAACAAAAATCAAAGAAGTAATATTTAGCATGTGCGATAATGTTATGGAATCGTGAAATTTTTATTTTATCATTATAATTTGAGGTGACGCCGTCGTCTTTACGTCTTTATTAGGTTTATCTTCCTTAGAATTTTTGTGAATTTTATCTTCCCCCCAATACTTGTGGGCATAATAATAATATATACGTTTCATCCGAAAAATAATGATAAGATTTTGCCGAGATATTTCAATGGATCTCATGAATTTCATTCGACAGTGCTGTTAGTGTCATATGACGGGTTTAGAGAAGATTATTTGGAAAGAAATATTACACCTCACATATCGGAATTTAGCAAGTATAAAACCTGTCTATATTAATTGGCGTTAAATAAAAACTTAATTAATTTAATTACTACATGTAGTTCGAAACGGAATAAAAGCCGAATTTCTAATGCCTTCATTTCCGGTTAGTTTCTTTTACCTTCGATTACTGTTTAATGTAAATGCTTTATATATTTAATGATTTCGATAATTGCATTGCTACAAATAGTCTGTTACCTTTCCCAATCATTACACAATAATCACGGGATTATATCCTGAATCACATGGTATTGTCGGGAATGAATTTTATGACCCGGTTCTAGAAGATAATTTCATTTACACCGATCCTTATAAAAGTCATGACTCCAAGTGGTGGGGTGGTGAACCAGTTAGTATATAATATTTATTTAAAATTTTATATTGACATTCAAAATGATATATATAATTGTTTTTTTCATGCTATATGTAGTTGTGGATTACCGCTGTTAAGCAAGGGCAAAAATCTGGAGTGTCGCAATGGGTCGGATCGTCTTCGATTATCAAAGGACATAAGCCAACTTACTATTTCCCATATAACTCAAGTTTAACAATAAAAGATAAAGTATCGCAAGTTATGGGATGGTTGGATCTTTCATTGAATGAGAGGCCAACCTTTATCGCTACATATGCGAGGAATGTCGATTTGGAAGGGCACAGATCTGGACCATACTCTGCGAATTTAAATAACGCATTGAGTTATGTTGATAATATGACACATGCTCTGCTGGAAGGCTTGGTACAGCGAAATCTTTCCGATATTGTTAATGTTATAATTGTCAGTATTTTATGTTAATATGTTGAATTTTTCACATTACCACTTATTAATCTTTGCTGTTTTGTTAATTATAGGTCAGTGATCATGGTATGGCACAGACTATACCAAGTAACATAGTGAAATTGGATAATTCTTTTGATGTTTCTAAGATTCGTCCAGTAGACGGTTACCCGTTAGCCGGAATTCGTCCATATAATGATTCCGATTTTGTGGAAATATTTTCAGGCTTAAAATATGCAAGTTATAATCAACCTTGGGAGTGCTTCACGCGTGAAGAAATACCAGAAAGATTTCACTTCCGTGCATCATTGCGTATAGCACCAATCTTTTGTATTCCACCGACGGGTTGGGTGTTAACAACGAATAGAGATTTTGAGCATCATAAATTACCAAGGGGATCACATGGGTATGATAATCTAGATCCAGAGATGTGGGGAATTTTTCTTGCTTCTGGTCCGGCATTTAAAACAATAAAGAGGGAAATGAATAACAATGTAGTCAAAGGTTTTATCAACACAGAAGTGTACAATATAGTTGCAAAAATTTTAGGATTAGTTCCTGCTGAAAATAATGGAACCGCTGGCGGAATTCTCTGGAATTGAATTAACTGTAAGAATGAATCAATGAATTGATTTATTGGATGCAATATTTAGAACTGATAACTCTAGGATCTTGGAAATCATCGGATTCTTCTTTCGTTATACAGTATATTTAGCAATATCGACATTATTATGTTGACAATAAATAAGTAATTCTATACTTTATACTATAAATGATACAAATTTTTTACTATTTGCCTTTTTTTATAATAGAATAATTTTTGAATATGCAGAACATATAAAATATTTTTATTTAAAAATATTTCCACCTTAAACTTATGTACAGTATAAAGTATATAATATTTAAGATTGAAGATTGATACAGCATCCGCCAAAAAGAACGCAACACCTGTTCGTCGATCTTTAATTGTTAAAATTTTAATCAAATTAAATCAGATCATGATGAAAAATATAGATAGAGCATAATATGATGTAGCCAATGCGTATAATAAAATAGTAATATAATTAATAAAAAATTTTTTTATTTAAAAATTTACTGTCGCGTGATTTTTGACTGCTTTTTTTAAAAAAATTTTTATTTATTATTGAAAAATTATTATTATTATTATTATTTAAACCGCAACTGGTGTTATTGGAATTAAATCCTATAGTATGCTATCAATCATCTTATACAAACTATTTATTTTTATATACATGCAGATTAATGATAACCTATTGTGATTAATCCTAGCTAGACCTACTATCACTTCTTGAGTATGTAGACCTAACTAGGGATTGGATGGTTAATGCACAGTTATCAACAGCATGGCTAGGTTAGTTAGTATTAAACTTACAAATTTTTATGTTTTACTAAGCTAGTCCTTTTTATATATATCTGATGGAATTTGTTACATTCTTCAATATTCCTAGTGTCGTGGGCTATCTCGGTGAGTCCGTCACTAATCTGTAGCATCTTGCATAACTTAGACATCTCACAAATACTCACAAAAAAGAGAACGCCTCCTATAAAGAACACTTAAGGAAGGTAGAGGTGTGGTGATTGACTTGTCCAAAGGTAAGTGTCTCTTTAATGTATTCTGTTTCTTTAAGATATCACTAACTCTTATCTCTATTCTCAATGAGGGCTGTTTTTCCTAATACTTTCAGCTCTGCCTTTTCAGTATACATTGATAAGCTATTTATACTTTTCTAACTAATAATAGGCTATCTACTTTATAATCAGCTATACTAATCCTAAACTTTGTTAAACTTTTCATACTTTTTCAGATACACATAGTTCCCTTATCAGTATCTAAGCCTTATCTATAGTTTCTTACCTCGCAACACTCAATCCTTCATATCAGACTTTCAAATTTTTGGATTCTAGACTGTTACACATAAATCGCATCATCTACGTAACCCATAACACTAGATATTATTTATTTAGATCTTATAAGAAAGCATTTTGCCTTCTTTGTTACTATATATAATATTGAATCAATTTCTATTAATTGATTTTTATTTAAATAGATCAAATTTGAATATTATAAGCTAGAAAAGTTGGGTCCTGAAGTCTGCCAAAGCAAGAAAGTTTTGAAGTATTTATAATAAGTTAAATTAAAATACTTTTTTCATACAATCCTTTCAATAATATAACCATAGATCTCAACCTCTGATTGATAAAAAATCAAAAGTCTTATCTTTATATAATCTAAACTGATTTAAGATTGTTCTGAATAATTGAGTATAACTTTATAAAATAACCAGTAAATCTGATTATAAAATAATCTTTGATTTTTGATCCTTAAGTAATATTGAATTACAAATCTTATGTTTGTGACTTAAAAGTAGTATTATTATATTATTATTTCACAAATTAATTTTTAAAACAAGTACAAAGGTCTGGACTATATTCCAAGATTGGTTATTTGAGTTTTATTTTTTTAAAAAATTTTATTTTCTATAAAAAATAGCTTTTTATTTAAAAAATAATAATTTTTATTAATAGTATAAAGGTTTGGACTATGCTTTAAGTTTAGTTATTTGAGTTTATTTTTTTAAAAATATTAAAATTGTATTTAATATTTATAAAAAATAGTTTTTTATTTAAAAATTTATTTTTTATATAGTTTAATTTTAAATAACGTAAAGGCTTAAACTATACTTCAAAATTATTTATTGAGTTTTACTTTTTAAAAATTTTAAAATTAGATTTATTTTTTATATTTTTCTATAAAAAATAGTTTTTTATTTAAAAAAATAATTTTTTGTAATTTTTTATTAAAAATTTTTATTTTTTATATAATTTATTTTTAAATAGTATAAAAACCTGAACTAGGCTTCTAAATTAGTTATTTAAGTTTTAATTTTTAAAAAAATTTTAAAATTATATTTAATTTTTATATTTTTCTATAAAAAATGGTTTTTTATTTAAAAAAATAATATTTATGGATAGTATAAAGGTTTGAACTATGCTTCACTTCAATTTTAGTTATTTGAATTACTTTTTTTAAAAAATATTAAAATTGTGTTTAATATTTATAAAAATAGTTTTTTATTAAAAAAATATATTTTTTATATGGTTTAATTTTAAATAGTATTAAGTTCTAGACTATGCTCCAAAATTAATTATTTGAGTTTTACTTTTTTAAAAAATTTTAAAATTGTGTTTAATTTTTATATCCTTTATAAAAATAATTTTTTATTATTCTTTATATAGTTTATTTTTAAATAATGTAAAAACCTAGACTATGCTTCAGAATTAGTTATTTGAGTTTTATTTTTTAAAAATTTTTTGAAATTGTGTTTAATTATTATATTTTATATTAAAAATTGGTTTTTTATAATTTTTTTATTTATCTGAAAAAAAATTAATTGTTATTTTTTTTAAAAAAAAGTTTATTTTTACTTTTAATTTTTTTAAAAAAAGTTTATTTAAATTTTTATTTTTTTATAAAATAGATTTGTTTTTTTATTTATCTAAAAAAAATTTTTATTTTAAAGAAAAAAAACTTAATTTTTATTTTTTATTTTAAAAAACAAAGTTTATTTTAATTTTTATTTTTTCTTTTCATTTAAAAAAAAGGTTTATTTTTAATTTTTATTTTAAATGAAAAAAATTTTATTTTTAATTTCTATTTAAAAAAAAAAAACTTTATTGTATTTTTTATTTTAAAAAAATTTTTTTATTTGATTTTTATTTTTTTAAAAAATATATATATATACTTTTTAATATTTATATTTTAATTTTATTCTAAAAAAAAAAAAAGTTTTTTTTTTTTAATTTTTATTTTAAAAAAAATTTATGTTTTATCTAACTTTTATTTTTAAAAAATATTTCTTTTTTTATTTTTCTCTAAAAGAAAAAAGTTTTTTATTTTAATTTTTATTTTTAAAAAATAATAATTTATTATTCTAAAAAAATATTTTAATAGAAAAAAATTTATTTAAAAATTTTTTTTTAATTTTAAAAAGAAAATTTTATTTTTTTAATTTTATAATTTATATATGTATATTTAAATTTTTATAAATTTATAATTTTTTTTTTATTTTTTAATTTTATAATTTTTTTTACCAAGTGACTTATATCTTATTTATTAGATATTATTTGTAAGTATGTACAAATTTATTTTATACAAATTTAACTCACTAGATACCTAATTAAACTCACTAAATATAATTCTACTATATGACTTATTGTTAAGTATTAGTATATATAGTACTTGACTAATCTGTCAGGGATTTATCTATTCTATAAAAATTTATTTTAAAAGAGTATATTGTGTTTCAATTGATCTAATATTAACTAAATTGTTTTATTGCTCTTGATATATATAATTTATATGTATAATTATTTTATCTAGTGTTTTCTATTTTTTTTTATCTTTTTTAGTTATGTTTTTATTTGTTTCTCACTATAAAAAAAGCTATATCTTAGTTGCCATTTGTTCTGAAGGATGGTTAAAAATCTGTCAATATTATTTTTAATAATTTCTTTTAAGTTTTTTGCTATTATATGTTT